TCCTCCTCCTCCTCCTCCTCCCTCCCTCCCTCCCTCCCTCCCTCCCTCCCTCCCTCCCTCCCTCCCTCCCTCCCTCCCTTCTTTCCTCCTTCCCTCCCTCTCTGCCGCCCTCACTTTCTTCTTCCCTCCTTTCCTCTCTCCTTCCCTCCCTCCCTCCCCATTCCCTTTCTTCCCTCCTCACCGGCAGTTTTGTTGTTTAAATTTTGTTCCATATTAAAATTCAAGTGCTAGCCGTTAGCACTTGGTTATATTTTTACTCAAATACGTGTCAGAACGGAAGTATCTCTTCCGTGTCATGAATCAGGTCTGTCCTTGGACAGTTGGACTCCCAATGATCATGTAGCAGATTATATTAGATTATAATATAAGTATATATATATATATATATATATATATATATTAAACATATATTGCGCTGTCACAAATTATGTATCAATTAGCAATTATTCGCATTAAGTGTTTCGTTGTTGTGGTTTCAGGCTACGTAAGGAGCTGAATGAAGGCGCCTGGTGCCCGGCTAGTCCGAACAACGGCAGCGCCTCACACGTATACGAATGGCTGGAGATAGACCTTGGCCAGCTCAAGGTTTGACCGATTATCGATTATCGATGAGGCGGCGACGCCGCGGCCGCCCGCCGCCGTTTTATCGATGGAGCATTATTACATTAGCATGATTGATTCGCGGCAAAGTGCGTGATTAAAATTACATTTGCTGCCGAATAGTTTTGTGAGCTGGGCGGGGGATGGGAGCGCGGGGGGGGGGGGGTAAGTAGAGGCTCTCGCTGTCGCTCGTGATTCGAGGGGAAAGCTGCGGCGATGTTGACGATGCAGATCGAAAAAAATACGAGCATGGAGATGAGAAGATTGATGAAAATAGTTGGGTATTCACGCGCGCGCATACACGCGCATGCACGCACGTGTGCGCGTACATACGTATGCGCGCGCTTGTGTGCTTACACGCGCATGCACGTACATGACCCCTTACACGCGCATGCACGCCCATGACCCCTTACACACGCATGCACGCACGCGTGCGCTACACGCGCATGCACGCGCTTGTGTGCTTACACACGCATGCACGCACGCGTGCGCCTACATTAGCACGCACGTACGGCTGCGCGCGCGAGCGTGCGTGCGTGCACATGGCTGTGCATGGTCGTCCATAAAAAAATAACGAGCATGCATTCACAATCGGGAGAAGGGAAGGATGTCTGACACCGTCCTCTGTGCGTGCTCACTCATAAAACCATCGGGGTTATTTGTTGCTATAGAAATCGTGTTCACTATGTGGCGTTACAATTGTGAAAACGCAGGGCAGCTAAATCGAAATTCGATCCTATACAGCGGATGGGAGAGAACGCATAGAAAGAGAGACTCGGCGATCGCGAGTGCGTGAGTGAATGAGTGAGCGAGCGAGCAAACGAGCTGGCGGGCGGATGAGTGAGTGAATGAGGGAGGGAGGGGGAGGAAAGGAAGGAAGGAGGGGGAAGAAGGGGAGGTAGAATTAAGGGAGGGAGGGGAGGGGATGGAGGGAGAGCGAGAAGGATGGAAGGAGGAAGGAAGGGGAGGGGTTAGACCAAGGGGGGCGGGATGGATGGAAGGCGGGAGGGAGGGAGGGAGGAATAAAGGGACAATTGGAGGAAGGGAGGAAGGAAGGAAGGAAGAGATGAAGGGATGGAGAGAGTAAGGAAATGAGATAGCAAGGAATGAAGAAAGAGCACTACTAGTGGGGTACATTGCGACAGACAAACGTCCAGTCCGACAAACAGGAGGGGCATGCGTTCGCACGCAATCTCCGATAGAGGGAACTGAGACGTTAACCACTGAGACGACGTCTCGACTACCATACCAATCGCAACGACGCAACACAAGTCGTCGCTACGACTTTTCTATTGGCGGCAGTCACGGCGGCCGCCGTAAAAAAGTTCGCCTGCGCAAAAATAATGAGAACTAATCTAGTCAAGCCGGCGCAAGTTTGCTTTTAATGATGATATCTCGTTATCTCATTAAACACACAACCGAGATTTTCTAACAATTTCGGTCACCGGCCGTCATCCAAGCCATCGCAAGACGCAACGCCGCCAAAATATTTTAAATCTTGAAAAATCCCTCCTTTTCATGATAACGAACAGCGACTAATCTTACTTTTGCCCGAGGTTTGAGGGCGCTCTAACCGCTGTCATTACGTAGGCAAGGATTTAATATAGTTACGCAATTAAGAGGAGAATGTTAGCCTAGCTTTATGAGCGAAGTCAGAGGTAAACATGCACGAAGATGATTGCAAATTCGATAAGACGAGCCTAGAGGGAATCGGGGGAGATACAAACAGGTCTTTGTAAAGTTTGCGGTGAGTTATCATTCTCTAGCGAGCTACGAGAAGCTACGAGAAGCGAAAATGCGTGTAATAGTGTGTTAAAATCTATTTATTAATATAGTCGCAAACTTTCACCACTCTCCGATTAACCGTAGCACAGGTGTATGTGCTTGCGTGTGACTGTCCGCAGTCTTTCCCTTCGTAAAAATGTCCTCGGACTCATCCTTGATCAATGCATAAATATATGTTGACTCACAGAAGATGTCTTGCAATCGAAGATGGGATAGTTAGGAAGTCTTTCGGATAGTTATAAATATAACTCATATAATGTAACATCAACACTTACTACAATAATTGTAACGCTTGCTATATATTATTACACTTACCGTAACGTACACTTACACACAACTGTGTACCCTCTATCGTAAGTGCTACATTATATTCAATCTTGTAGGTTGTGACGAAGGTGGCGACGCAGGGACGGTTCGGCAATGGTAAGGGCCTGGAGTTTGCAGAGTCGTACAAGCTGGAGTACTGGCGGCCAGGCCTCGATAGATTCATGCGCTTCAAGAATCGCAAAGGCGTCGAGGTGCGTCACGTGACTGGCCGTGTGCGCGATCACGAAGCACACGCACATAGTCTAACACATAGTTAGTTACATAGTTTACACACAGTTTATACATAATTTATATATAGTTTATACATGATTACGTACATAATTACTTCCATAGTTACATAATACATACATAGTTTATGCATAGTTGACACAGAGTTACATACATATTTATCAAGAGCGCATTAAGAAGGCATAATGCGCTCTTGATATTTATACATAGTTACTTGTATAGTTACATAGTATTTAAGCAATTTATGCATAGCCACATAGTTGTATAGTTTATAATACTTACATAGTACATGGGTTTTCTATATAGTTTATACATGGTACATTGTCTATGTGCTCGTGGAATGTTAACCAAAAGTGTGTGTACGCATAATATCATATTATGATCTACGTGTACAATAACGGGGATTCTTCCAGCGCCTATGCTACTCCATCCTCAATCCTAGCATCACACATAAGAAATGCCTCACCCAGATCTCTTCCTCGCAAGATTCCGGGAGTCTGGAGACATCTCGTTGCGCGAGTGTACAGCGATATATATATATATATATAGCGTGGGATGTACTGCAATTCAACGCCGCACTGCGATTCTTTTCTTGCAATCACCGCTGCACACCACGTCACAGTGACCGTCGAGTACTAAGATGATACTTACATGCGATGATTGTCGGCATTGTGAAGTGTGTCGCGAAGAAATTGGTCCGATACTCCGCCTACGACATCGCAATCATCTTCAAAAGTTCTGAATTCCTTTCACAGCGCGGCAATGTTCGAGTATAACGTAGCGCACGCAAGCGTACAGTGTTGCAGCGTATCATCTACCTTAATCTTTTTCCTACCCTCTGTCTGACCTATGGTCTGACTTTCCTTGTGGGATCGATAACCGTAACGATATTAAAAAAGACTACATTCACGAAAAGAATTGCATGAATGCTGCTAGTTATGACATCGTGAATAAAAAATTTCCTAATTAAAAAAATGTCGTGTCGTGAAAAGGTGTTTGACGTTTAAGCAAAATGACATTTTAGACTTATGATCGGCATATAACTATTTGTAATGTAGTCGACAACGCGCCCCCTAGTGTGATATGATAGAGATGAATCACTAGATGAATCAACACGTCCGTCACGCGTCACGTGGTTGTGATTGACAGCTGTTGCCCGGCAACACAAACACCTACATGCCCGTGGAGCAGGAAATGGACCCGCCCATCGTCGCATCGCGTGTGCGGTTTGTACCGTTCAGACGCAACCTGCAAATCTGCATGAGGGTGGAAGTCTACGGCTGCATCTGGGAAGGTAAGAGCATGAGGAACTTGTACATATCATACTTGTACATGTGGATACAAAGAAAAGACCAGGAGTGAATAAAAACACTTGTTTGTTTTTATTTACTCCTGATGAGACATAATAAATGTGGATGGGTATAATGCACGTATATTAATTATATATTACATATCGTATATGTGCGCCCGCATGCAAACAACAACGGAGAACAGCCAGACGCACAAATGTACGTACATGCATACATAGAGAAACATAGGCGGATAGACACACATGCACGCACGCACACGTACACACACACACGCACACACACACAAAAATGAAATGCGCAAAAATGCCATTTTGATGCACATATTTTCAAAAATTACCCTACTGTGGAAGGGGAAACACCCTCCCCAGGGGCGTGTACAGGGGGGGTCCAGGGGGTCCGCACCCTCCCTGCTCGCGCAGAAAACGCATCTGAGGGGGTCTAATTTCAAAAAAATTCTGGGGGAGGGCCCCAGACCCCCCCTTCGCGTGCTCGCAAGTATGGATTACGCTTAGACCCCCCCTGGTCCAAATCCGGTACACGCCCCTGCTCCCCCGTTGAGAAATAGCTTCATCACTGTCTTTGGTCGCTTAACTCTTTTCTTCCCTCCCTGAAAAACACTGGCTTCGTACACCATTTTCACTGGTCTAGCTAAGGGTCCACCAACTGGTCGTGTGTAACCTCAGAGCCTTCCGGCGCCACAGGCAGGGGGCCATCGTCCCACGTTGATCGGATCGGAGTGGAAAAAAAAGCGAGGGAGGGGGGTTATTTGCCACTTCTCATATAAGTTACCCCTAATACTGAATTTTAGTGTGCAGAAAATGCCATTTTCATGCACGAATTTTCAAAAATCTCCCTACCGTGGGAAAAAATACCCCTCTCACGCCCTACCCCCCTCGGTCGCTTCGCTCCCTCGCCTTGGCCCCCCATGTTTCAAATTGCTGGCTACGCCACTGGTTATGGCGATCGTGAGTATGAAATGTCATGATTTCTTTCGCATGGAGCGCTATGCTAACATTGCGACAATTTCGACTATACATATATATATATATATATATATATATATGCCATCGCGACCTAAAATTATCTTTGATCTTCTTTACATATCCTAACTATAAATCACGAACAGAGAACCAGTCTATGTCACGTGCGCCATTGTTCCGCGTGCTGTTTCCAGGACTACGAGACGACGATCCCACACAGACAGATGGGCGTTAATCTATACGTCAACTACTCGGCCGCACGCTGCCCGCCAGGGGGCGAGACATTCGCCGAGACGTTTAGGAAGCACGGAGCGCCGACGCAGGAGGCGCCACAGGCGTTCCTCGGTGCGGAGAAGCCAGGTCCTCCGCACAACATGCTGAGTCCTCACCACGGTAGGTTGTCGCCATATCTTACCTGCCCCCTATACAGCAGCGAGTACTGGCGCTGCTTAACAGCGCATCCAGACGGCGTTTCACCGCTTTTGCTTCCCTTTTACAGCCAGAATGCTTTGCGCGTTTCCCCATAATGGGCTCTGGCGCTCGTTCGCGTACTCGTCTTCTGAAATCCCACCGATCGTAGCCAATGACCATCTCACCACATGCATTAGAGATTATATATATATATATATATATATATATATATATATATATATATATATATATATATACATCAATACATATTATCAGGAGTTAATAAAGACAAATCTAAAGACGATTTGTCTTTTATTAAGCTCCTGAATATTATGACTTAGAAATAAGTCCTAATGCCCCCGACTGTCCTGATCTCAGGAAAATCCGAATTTTTTTATTTTTGCTACATGCTCGAGCTATGTTCTTCTAGGGCCTGACTACGCGCTGGTGATGCCGCAGCAGCCTTCCACACCTACCGCGGTTGACGACGATGGCGCCCGCACTGCCGCCGCGCTATCCCAACCCGCGCATACGTCACATGAAACCCAGCGAGGCGCTGTCGCTGCACTACGCTGAGACGGAGCTCTTCCGAGTGCAGAAGATACAGAGCGTGAGCATCGTAGTTAATCGTAGTTATTACTATATATTATCATCTCGCTACCAGTGTATCTTACTACCAGTGTATCTTACTACCAGTGTATCTTACTACCAGTGTATCTTACTACCAGTGTTTCTTACTACTAGTGTATCTTACTACCAGTGTATCTTACTACCAGTGTATCTTACTACTAGTGTATCTTACTACCAGTGTTTCTTACTACTTAGTGATCTTACTACCAGTGTATCTTACTACTACGTATCTTCACTACCAGTGTTTCTTACTACTAGTGTATCTTACTACCAGTGTATCTTACTACCAGTGTATCATTACTTACCAGTGTTTCTTACTACTAGTGTTATCTTACTACCCAGTGTATCTTACTACTAGTGTATCTTACTACCAGTGTATCTTACTACCAGTGTATCTTACTACAGTGTTATCTTACTACCAGTGTATCTTTACTACCAGTGTTTTCTTACTACTAGTGTATCTTACTACAGTGTATCTTACTACCAGTGTATCTTACTAAGTGTATCTTACTACCAGTGTATCTTTACTATCAGTGTACTATTACTACCAGTGTATACTTTACTACTAGTGTATCTTACTACCAGTGTATCTTTACCTACTAGTGTATCTACTCTGTTATCTTACTACCAGTGTTCTTACTACTAGTGTATGTCTTATACTAGTGTATCTTAACTACCAGTGATCTTACTACCAGTGTATTTACTACCAGTGTATCTTACTACCAGTGTATCTTACTACCAGTGTATCTTACTACTAGTGTATCTTACTACCAGTGTATCTTACTACCAGTGTATCTTACTACCAGTGATCATACTACCACCAGTGAATTTTATTAGATTTTACTACCATGCAGTGTATTTTACTGGATTTTACTACCAGTGTATTTTACTGGATTTTACTACCAGTGTATTTTTACTGGATTTACTACCAGTGTATTTTACTGAGGATTTTTTACTACACAATCGTGTTTTACTGGATTTATTATCCGTCCGTATTTACTGGATTCTACACTACCAGTGTGTATTTTAATACCAGTGTGTTTTAACTATCCACTTGTATTTTACTAGCAGCGCATTCTTACTACCAGGTGTATCTTACTACCCAGCCTGTTATTTTACTACCAGTGTGTTTTACTACCACTTGTATGGTTTGAGCTACTAGTGTATTTTACTACCTACGTTCACTCTTTATACTACTATCGTATTTTTACTTACAGTGTTCTTACTACCAGTGTATTTTACTACCAGTGTGTTTTACTACCACTGTATTTTACTAGCAGTGTATTTTACTACCAGTGTATTTTACTACCAGTGTGTTTTACTACCAGTGTATTTTACTACCAGTGTATCTTACTACCAGTGTATTTTACTACCAGTGTGTTTTACTACCAGTGCATTTTACTACCAGTGTATCTTACTACCAGTGTATTTTACTACCAGTGTGTTTTACTACCACTGTATTTTACTACCAGTGTATCTTACTACCAGTGTATTTTACTACCAGTGTATCTTACTACCAGTGTATTTTAATACCAGTGTATCTTACTACCAGTGTGTTTTACTACCACTGTAGTTTACTACCAGTGTATTTTACTACCAGTGTGTTTTACTACCAGGGTATTTTACTATACCATATTATGGTACACTCATACCATGTATTCTGTATCCTATCACAACACTATGAACACTGTACTCTATCTTAGTCACCAACTATTATACCCTAACCGGATAGATTATGTTAATTATCCAAGATATTAGAAAATAACACGTTTGTTAAACGATGTATAATTTGCTAATTAATCAATTTATCATCTCGAGTTAAGTGTGCCAATGCCTGTTAACATAATTATTCAATCTTTTCCCCCACAGCATATGGTTCCAACGATCTGATTACGTTACAGTGTGACAGCGCATGCGCGCGTGGCTGTCACTCGCTCTCATCCACAGATCTCTAAATACTAACTTTGTAACTCTATAACTATGTAAGTATATGGAGATCAGTGCTCTCATTTCTATCATTTTTTGCACCTCTATAGGCTAGCGGCAGCAACATATATGCGGCACCGCCCGACCTTCTGGCGTCAAGAAACAGCCGAGTGACGGAGTTTCCGATTGAGGATCTCGCTTTTTTAGAGAAGCTTGGAGAAGGACAGTTCGGAGAGGTGCGTGGTGATGCGTGGATAACTGGGATTAAGTGTGTGGTGGCGGATCGTATAGTAGGGATAGCGAGGCGGGAGAAACGGGGGAGGGGGTAAGAAACATCACCTGAGACAATTTGCCTATTCTGATCTTGTTCTTTCCTCCCACTATCTCTCGCTATCGCCTACTGTCTCTATCACGCGTTGTTCTCTCCCTTTCTCTTTCTTTCATTTTCTCGCTTTCTCACCCCCTCTCTCTTCTGCTCACTCGCTCTCTGTCTCCGTACCTCCCTCCCCATCTCTCCATCCCTTTCTCCCGTCCTCCTCTTTCCTTTCTTTCCCCTCCTTTCAATCTCTATTTTTCTCGACCCATCTTTCTCCGTCTCCCTCCTCCTTTCCCATCTCCCTCTCCATTCGTGAGCGCCGATATCAAATTGTGATAGGACGATTGCAACCCTTAAAGGACTTCTTGTTTTTAACGATCCAAGATGTGGGAAGATTTATATAATCGCGCACTCTGAACACCGAATCGTTCTTTCCATGTTCGTTATACGACCAGTAACATTGCGGGTTTACGACAAATTGATATCTCAACGTTCGTCGTAACGCGAGCACTAAAAACTGTCGCCTAAAATCATCGAATAAAAATTTTAAAATTAATTTTCGCAAAACCTCGCCTGCGCGAAAGCACGGATATTAGCAAACGCCGGGATATTCCTAGCTCGGTTCGTACGATTATCACATCGCATGCGAAGCTTTCTGACGCTACGTACATGCTGACTCGCTCGCTCGACTGTTCCCGCGCCCTGCGGCGGCTTGGTTCTCTTTGGGGGATGCGCGCGCCGAGCGTGCATGATGGATTAGTGTGGAGGCGGCCGTCAGCAGACGATAGTCGGAGATGCGGGGAATTCGATGATGAATTGGGGGAAAAATGAGTGAGTCACCCACGGATTGTTGGTATGCAGCATCCCAGCGTGCGTGCGTGCGTCTGCGCGTGCGTGCGTATGTGCGTGCGTGCGTGCATGTGTGTGCGCTTATGTGCGTGCGAGCGGGTGTGCGTGCGTGCGTGCTGGGTCGCCACCAACGATTTGTAATGAAATGAAACGTTTGTATAGGCATGAACATAGTACTAGTATAGAGGTGTTCATGGCTTCAGTGCAGTGCGTCGTTGTGCCGTAGGCCCTACTGTCATCTGTAGCCATCTGTGTGCTGCCATCGCCTCAGAGAATAGAAGGCAGTGTTTTGGTGTGACGTTCAAATTCTTCTGGAAATTGACCTGTGTGCTCATTTCCAGTCGTGTTGGGGGAGAGGTGGGCGGGTGCCCCTTGCTGTGGAACGGTCAGTGATTTCACACGCAGTGCGAACCACTCTGTTATTCAGGTGCACGTCTGCGAGACGGCGGCCATGTCTGATCTTGATTATTCGCCAGGCCATACCAGCGACAACGGTAAATCCCTCGTTGTCATCAAGATACTGGGGAGCGACGCCACGCAGGATGTCCGGTAAGAATGACAATATTGGTGACGATGCACTTACTAGTCAAACCTGTATTAAACATATATTTAACTTGTATTAAGTCTGTATTTAAACTTTATTAAATCTGTATTGAACCTGTATTAAACCTGTATTAAACATGTATTTAACTTGTATTAAGTCTGTATTTAAACTTTATTAAATCTCTATTGAACCTGTATTAAACTTGTGTTTAATTATAACCTGTATTAATATATTATGCCGCATCAATGTTTTAATGGGATCTAACTAATGCGGAGAACTCCTTACTAGTCTACCCTGTATAAATCCTGTATCGAACCTCTATTAAACCTATATCGAAACTGTATTAAACCTGTATTAAATCTGCGTTTAACCTGTATTAATGCACTATGCCGCGTCAATATTTCAATGGTATCTAACTAAGGCAGAGAACTTCTTACTACTCTCACCTTCATTAAACCTGTATTAAACATGAGTTTAACCCGTATTAATACACTACGTTGCAACAATGTTTTAATGGTAGGGCCTATCTAACTAAAGCAGAGAACTTCTTACTACTCTAACCTTTATTAAACCTGTATTAAATCTGCGTTTAACCCGTATTAATACACTATGCCGCGTCAATATTTCAACGGTATCTAACTAAGACAGAGAACTTCTTACTACTCTAACCTTTATTAAACCTGTATTAAATCTGCGTTTAACCCGTATTAATACACTACGTTGCCTCAATGTTTTAATGGTATCTAACTAAAGCAGAGAACTTCTTACTACTCTAACCTTCATTAACTATGTCGATGCTGTCGCGCTGGCTGCTCGTCAGCGAGGTGTCGTTCGACTCCGGTAGGTATATACGCAAGTGAGGTGTGTGTGTGGGTTGGGGGAGGGGGGTGAGTGGTTGTAGGGGGACGGTGTGTGTGTGTTTGTGTTTGTGCGTGTGTGTGGGGGGGGGGCGTGTATGTATGGGGGTGTCCCTTTCCTCCTACCTCGTCTCTTCCATCCTTCCCCATCTCCTCCATCCTTCTTCACCTCTTCCCCCTCTCTTATCTCTCCCTTCCTCAATCATCTCTCCTCTCCTCCCTCATCTTCTTTATCCTCAAATCTCTCTCCTCTTCCATTGTCTCTCTCCTTCTCCCTTATCTCTATCCTTCTCCCTTATCTCTCTTCATCCCACATCTATCTCCTCCCGTCTCATCTCTCGCTTCCTCCCTCAACCCCTTGTTCTCAATTATCTCCCCCACCCTCCTTCAAATACAACTGCTAGTCGGCATGCCTCGGTCTTTCGTAGTCTCTTTCGATTTTTCCGCTTCCGTCAATTTTAAGCAAGAAAAACGGTCGCTGAGTGACTAAGGGGGATTTGGTAATTAGTTAGACCGAGGTGTGGCGCTCCACTCGGCACGTTTGATGTTGGTCAACATATGGACAGGTTCACATGTCATTCTAGCAGGGATAATACACGAAAACATACTCTCGCTACGATTCTATAACGAGAAAGAGAGTGTGACAGATGCAGGGAGAGAGTGTGTGCGAGAGAGGCAGGGAGAGAGCGAGAGCGGGAGAGTGAGAAAGTGTGAAAATGAGCGAGGAGGAGGAGGAAGAAGAAGGCGAGCTAATGACACAAAGAGAGAGAGAGAGAGAGAGAGAGAGAGAGAGAGAGAAAGAGAGAGAGAGAGAGAGCGCGCGCGAGAGAAGGAAAGACCGCGACATTTAGAGTACATAAACTATTTATATTTATTTCACTTTTTTTGAAATACTGCAGTTGTGCGCTGCAACAGCTGAATACATCGGGATAATGTATCGCCGAAGCTATGAAATTCTGCAAACATGAACTAATATTATAACGATCACAAAAGCCACATCCAAGTGCATGTAGGTAAATGCATGCATGCATCCGTGCATGCTTGCTTGCGTGCGTGCGTGTAAACGCGCGTACCTGAGCTCCGATGGCAGTAAATGCATGCATGCGTCCGTGCATGCTTGCGGGCGTGCGGGCGTGTATTCGCGAGTACCTGAGCTCCGGTATATTCTTGCCTCATTGCCATCAGTGCCTGCTGTCGGTGCCTACATTAAGGAGGATGAGACGGGAACTACAGAGCTGGACGAGGTGTTACAGTCAGCGAGGCTACCGCCGCTCAACGACTGGGCGGCCGTCGAAGAAGGTAGTGTTCAGTCAAAAATCAAAGTCAGTTCAAAGTCAGGTTCTGAAACGAATGTTGACGTGATCTCACCCGATACAAAAAAATATTCTCCGCAACGCCGATGATCGAGATGTCAGTGTATAATAATTATAAGAACACAGTTTGCGCAAGCGTTGCGTCGTATCCGAATCGGATGGAGAGAAAATACAGCCATATATCTATTCACATCTTTCAAACGCACAAAAACTTATCACGTCTCCGTATCTTTAAATTTGAGCAAACATCAAATGTCATTTTACGGATTTCGACGAGTATTAGAGTGTATCCTTGTTAGATTATCTTATTGTTGATTCAATTACGATAGCGACATAGACGAACGGGGCAGAGAAAGCTATACGGTTTATGTGCGTTTCGACGATAGATACTTTGATGGGTTTACTTATACTATCGTGAATTTTTTTTTTACTAGAACTGTCAGATGTTTTACTAACCCGACCAGGCTGTACGACTGTATAGCCGCTACGCAGTGTTAAGAGCGGCAGTCACTTATGGCTAGTGATTCGTGTGTCGTAAATGTGTAGCGATGAGTATTGAACGTGACTACAACGTGTATAAACAACAAACAACAACCGGTTAAAAAACAAATGTTAAACGCTTTAATACTGCTAATAACTGTAATTTTTCAGGAGCATTTATTTTGAAAACGTTGTGTTGTGTTGTATTGTGTCGTGTCGTGTTTTCATTGTGTTGTGTTGTGTCGTGTCATGTCGCGTGGTTTAGTAGTGCTGTGTTGTATCGTGTAGTGTGGTTTAGTAGTGTTGCGTTGCGTTGCATCAAACGTTGTATGGTGACGACACACTACAGCTGACGACTATTCTAACCGGGAAGTTTTGCCGACAAAGACCTGTCACCTGTGCAGGCAAATGTAGAGCTCACTGCGTCATCTGTCCTTTCTATATTCTAGTAGTCAGTTTCAACTGAAGTTATTCTCAATTCACCGTTATTTCCAAAGCTATCAGCCGTTATTTCTTTATATAATCGCGAGCGCGGTAGAGTCGTAAAGACAAAATGCAATGCTTAAAACGCGATTATCTTGCAATGTAAATTGGTAATAATATTACGAGAGATGAGAGCGTCAGAAACTTTTACGACCCGATCACATACAGGAAGGCAGCTTCATAATGCGCGAGAGATGCAAGACATTTAAGCGAGCAGACGTGGCGGTGAATCAATGGCGGATCTCTGCCTTTGTCGCGCTTCCTTTTCCTTTTTTATCGTTGATCTGTTGATTTCAAAAACTTGCCCGCAGAAGAGCGTTTTTAATGCGGCGGGAGGAAGAAAATCTTTCCCCACTCTCGAGCGGAAAATCCCCAAACCTGCCGACGGCGGCGCAAGCGCAGTTGAACGTTGTTATGAAGTAAATTCTCGTCTGCATCGGGGAATATCTTTCTCGCGCGCTCGATCGTATCCAGCCGATAGCAACTGTGGAGGAGAAATCCCGCGCTAGCGCGAAAATATCGAGGCGGCGCTTGCTCGACGCGACGACGAAAATTTTTTACGGGTGAGTTAGTTATGCGCGCACGAAATGTGTAGCAGTACGAGGCAAGATCGTTGAGGAGAGAGCGTGGGGTGCGGAGGTGGTGGGGTGGTGAGGAGGGTTGAAAGGGAATAGGGTTAGGGTTGGGATTAGGGCAGGTGTGTGGGATGGGGAGGAGGGCAGGAGGGCATAGGACCGTGGGGTGGGGATGAGGGGTATGACCATGGGGTGGGGAGGAGGGTGGTAGGAGCGTGGTTGGTGACGAGGGTAGGAGCGTGGGTGCAAGTACAAGGCCGTGAAGGTCATATGGGTCGGGTGAGAGTAGCGGGGGAGTTGAGGATGGAATGGATTGGGCACGTGTGTAGAGAGCACATGGGGGTCGTGACATGCAGTGAAGAGACTCCTCGCGGGGTGGGTGGTGGGGTGGTGGGGAAGGACGTCATTTGTGCTGAGTGCACTTCCCTTCCGGGAAGATACAGCATTAATTACAGCGTAAAACCGAATTAGCACTTTTCGTCCGCGTTCTTAATTACGTAAACGCAGACAATAATACTTGCGCCCGTGGCGCTTAATAACGGCAGTAGAATGCAGTTATAGTTTTTAATCACGCAACAGAACCCAGCGACTGTACATTTTCTTATAGGTTTTTGACGCAAGACGTACTGGCGCGGTTGCACCGGGGAGGGGGGGCGTATTTTAAGTATTCTCGGCTAATTTACTGAAACCTCACTGTCACTATCGGTGGTAGGCGGTAACAAATATTTGAGTCAAACATCTATTTTGGTGATTGATTGCAGACGGCGAGAGGGGACCGGACAATTTCAGACTCGACATAAAGGGTTTCGGAAAAGGCTACGAGTGGGTCGGCTGGAAGAACGACACAGGAGCCAGGCTGTCTCCAGTAGAGGTAGGGCGCCTTTGCGCGATTTCAATGCCTGCCCTGCGTAATTACATACGCCCACCTTTCAGAAATATCACGCAAGCCGGAAATGAAAGTATACAGTTTAATTTCGGTTTGATTAGGTCGGGTTATTAAAATGAACTTCTACGTATTGAGGTAGATTTGTATAGATCGATTTAATGACATTTCTGCATGGACAGATAAAAATGCAGCCGTAATCTAAATAGTTTAACTGCTTGCAGTCTCTATATTGTATCAATTTTTTGAATTCCATATTTTGGCTGTAACCGCGTACCACACTTGCAAATAATAAATATTTTTCGTCGTAAAGACCACATAAAGGTCACACACTTGAGTAGCCTACATAGCACCTACGGTAAAATGAACACAGACGTAAATTATATAAAAAAAGAAACCAAAATTGAAAAATAAATCGGCACCATGTGTTGACTATTGCCCGCTATGTGTGTTCAGGTGTAATTAAGTCCCCTGACATGCATTCCCTGTCCTCCCAAAATGGCCGATCTCGCTTTACCAAAAAAACATTGGTAATTGAGAACGGTGAAATGTCAAAATCCGAAACCGGTGTTAGGGCGCGCAACTCTGACAGAAAATGCACCAAATGTATCACTTTAGCTGAATATTATATCGTTTGAATAATATGCGTAATAAATCATTAATGCTGACGCGAACCACGCATTACCATTTATTTCTACGAGTTTCTCAATCGAAATAAATTTTTTAGGCTGGTGCACACAGGTCAGAGAGCTTTTATTTGCTTCTGCCGTCTGGTTTTCTGCCGAATATCAATATTCACGTCTCTCAAAACACCACAAGCTTTCAGCACCAGCTCATGGCTAACATTAACTGTTTCTGTAATGGTGTGGCGGCTACAAGAGAGGTTAGAGACTTTGCTTGTAATTGCACACGTTCCCACACAAATGCAGTCAGCTGTGTTAGTTTTATACACTAAACTAAAATCAGCCAGTCTGTAATATTTAATAATTGTGGCACATCTTGTGCCTTTCCCACGAAGAGAATCGCCATATATAATTAAATACTGTATCATGTAGAACTATATATACCGTTTATTTGCCATTCCGCTATAAAGTCAACCTTTAATGTCGCACAGGGCGGTTAGTTTCGTAGTCGATCAACATTTCACATTCGCTTTGATGTTTGAATGTTGATTGTTTGATCCTCTCTAAATCGGTAGTCAGCGACCAAACATCAAACAAACATCATTATTTGTGTTCTAGTTATATAATGAACTGCACTTCGCACCCAAGAAAGATAGATACGTTATTCATTACCGTCGCTACTGGCTGAATTTTATTGGTATTATATTGGAAATCATTCAAATAATTAGCACACCCAAATACACAGCGAACCCGGTATCTTTCCCATTATTTATACGCTTATAGATGAACGCTGCCCAAATACTGTGCAGTATTCGTTCACGAAAAAAGTCGTTGATTGCGCATGCGCATTGCCTTCGGTTTTCGGCAATATCTAGCTTTACGGATCGAGCTAACGGTAATGTCAACTCCGTTTGTCGTGTGCGGCCCCCTGCTAGCGCTTTGCGTGTGCTCGTTTGACCTTTGTCCTACGAAGGATGAACGCTGATGCAATAATCTAAAGTTTACAATTGCGCGGCTGCTAAAAAAAAATCGTTACAAAATGCGCGGGAGCAAGAATAACATAATGCACAATGACACACGTTAAACAGCAGCGGCGTGCACTACTGTTTATCGAGGCAATGCGGCGTGCACGAGAATAAATATTTGAATACTAAGCCAGAAAAACGCGTTTAAAGAGAGTCGACGAAGCGACTCAGCGAGTTGGTCTTTAACAGTGGGCGGTCGAGATAGAATTTCAGATTACATTGATCGGACAAGACTGTTTTCACATCGGCACTGATTGAATTCGCGCACTCGCTGAATTTCTTCGGCTCTTGTCGAAGCGTTTGTCGAAGAAATCGTCCAGCGACAACAAGCCCAAAATAGAACGCCGTATAGCGGTCGTCGCTCGCTGTGACACGCCAGAAGACGAAACTCACTTGAACCCGTTTGAAACCCGGATAGAAGCAATTCACCTGTTAGCGGCGGAGGCATTGTGCACAGTGCTAAACACTGTGCAAATGTTAGCTAGTTCTGCCGGAGTAATTCCGCGATAGATTTTCCCCCATCGGATCCGGATGTCTAAATAATCCGAGGTAACATCATCCTCTAATGGATTTTCTAGTGTGGGGGAGGGGTTGTGGACTGAATCCAGAAGTCCATGAACTCACAGTACGCTCAACGACTTGTCGAGTCATTCTAATGGAGTTGTATGATGGGAATCGTTCAGAAATAGTAGTGTTTCTGAGCAGTATCTCAAAACGTACTTCAGTGCTTCCCCATAAAGAGTTTACTCATGAGTAAGAATTGGGAAAACCTGTCTCTTTCTTCCTATTGTCTCCTATAACGTCTTTCTTTTCGCCTTAGCACTCACTCGCCACCCATCTCCTAGCGTCTTCTAGCGTCTTACAGTGTCTCACAGCGTGTCCTAACGTATTATTACTCTAACCTTCATTAACCCTGTATTAAACATGAATTTAACCCGTATTAATACACTACGTTGCATCAATGTTTTAATGGTATCTAACTAATGCAGAGAACTCCTTACTACGTCGGTCTGCTACAGCTGCATTATCGTATACAGTCGAACTTGTAATTAGTGGTCACAAAATACATATTTAATGGGAAAGTCCCAAAATTGTCCTTTATAGACAGGTGTCCGTTCAATAGAGGTCATATACCAGCAAAACTGCTACTCGACGGAAAGTGTACATTCTAGAGTGGTAACCGCTAACACATCTCTGACATATTATATCGCGTCGCTGTTTTTATGGCACCAAATGCGTTTTCATTTGATAAATATCTAAGAAAAATCTTTTGGAAACGTTAAACGTGTCCTTTATTGACTAGTAGCCGCTAATGGAAGTTTGACTGTATACATTATATTTCCTAGCTTTTTCATGGCGCCATATACTTTTTCATTTAATAAAATTGCAAAAATCGTTCGAATGTAGATTTCCAAGCAAAATGTCCTAATTATCGACTGAATAAATTGATTTTATATGTCCTAAAAAAACACAATTTGATTCATATTCGGCGGTAACATAACCCATTTCGTAACCAGCAAAGACCGAGTATGAAGAGAACTTGGGTATTCTGTTACAATTGAAAACAAATTGTAGTTCCACAGGGAACACTCAATAGCGCGATTTTATGGAGACAGCTGGAAATTACAAAACAGCGACAGACACTTTCGCTGCCTACGCAGACACGGTTATTGATAAATGACGCGACGTATGTTGCATCATGCCATGTAAAGTTATATATATCTCTATATATATATATATATATATATAGAGAGAGAGAGAGAGAGAGAGAGAGAGAGAGAGAGAGAGAGAGAGAGAGAGAGAGAGAGTGTGTGCGCACGAGAGCGCGAGCGCCACACATACAGAGAGAGAGAGAGAGAGAGAGAGAACGTGCGAGAGAGATAGAGAACGCGAGAGCGAGCTCTCTATATATATAATGTGTAGCCACTCTCCACGTGCACGCACTCCACTCTGGCATGATCATTACTCGTGCTGCCCTCTGTGTGTCCCCGCAGGCAGGACTTTCTGAAGGAGGCGCGCATTCTGTCGCGCTTGAAAGACGCGAACATCGTGCGCGTGCTGGGCGTCTGCTCGCGCGTAGATCCCGTCTGCATCGTCATGGAGTACATGAAGAACGGAGACCTCAACCAGTTCCTACAGCAGTACGAGTTGGAGGAATCATTCTCGAACTCCTCTGGCTCGCTCCCCTGGCTAAATCATCTCGCGCCGTCTGTAGACGGAATTGGAGAGAGAGAGAGAGAGAGAGAGGAAGCGAGAAAGAGAGAGAGAGAGAGAGAGAGAGAGAGAGAGAGAGAGAGAGAGAGAGAGGAAGGGAAAAAGAGAGAGAGAGAGAGAAAGAGTGAGAGAGAAAGCGAGCGAGTGCAATACGATTAATGCAACTTTTAATGAGCTTTCTATATCAGATAAGGTCTATATGAACGCAAACCGATGGTAGCGTCTACACTCTGACAAAGTGTTTCACGCAAACTCCCGCCACACACTATTCACGCCACTAATGGCCCCGCATGGAAATTTCCATCGATGTATAAACATTTTTAAAATGAATAAATTGTCGCCCATATTCAAATTGATGCTGAATAAAGCCGTAAGACGAGAACCAATATCGCAGTTGAACTAGTGAGAGAGTCATATGGCGGACGATTTCACGGGCGTGCATAAATAAGGCGTTGTGTGGGCATGCGCGCTCTTATGGACGTCTGATGGCAGTGACGACGCCGAACAACGGCAAGAGAGAGGAAGGAAGGAAGAGAGGGACGGAGGGAGAGAAGTAGAGGGGAGGAAGGGGGGGGAGAAAGCGATGGGAAGAGAGGGAGCGGAGGAAGAGGGGGAGGGACGGAGGGAGGAAGGAAGAGAGGGACGGAGGGAGGGAAGTAGAGGGGGAGAGGGGAGGAAAAGAAGGAGAGGGAAAAGAGAGGGAGCGGAGGAAGAGGGGGAGGGACAGAGGGAGGAAGGGACGAAGGGATGGAGGGAAAGAGGGAGAAAAGAAGAGGGGACGAGCGAGCGAGGGGGGTTTAAGGAACGGAGGGAGGGAGAGTGGGAGAGATGGAGAAAGGGAGAAAGAAAAATAGCGAGGGAGGGCGGAAATGGAAGGGAGTAAGGAAGTTAGGGTTAGGAGGACGAGGATAGCTAGAGAGGGAAGAAGAGAGGGAGAGTGGGTGAAATGGAGGGAGGGAGAGAGCGAGTGAGAGAGTGGGAAGGAAGGGGAACAAGCGACATTTGCGAGTTTCATCACGAGGCTGATACGGTGAATGACGAATGAGGCAAAACCAGACCCTGGCTTCATGCAGAATTTACACTCACACACAGATAGCCGCATCACCGCACACACACACACGCTCACTCGGCATGCGCGCCACTACCTATATACACTGTACGCTTCGCACACACGCTCAGCCTCATAGCAAACCTCACACGCAACTCAAACCTTCCCTAATAAAGCCATCTCTAATAAAGCTATCCTTACTCAAGCCTTCCCTACTAATGCTATCCCTACTGAAGCATTCCCTACTGAAGCATTCCCTATCCCTACTGAAACTATCCTTACTAATGCTATCTTTACTAAAACTATCCCTACTAAAGCTATCCCTACTGAAACTATCCTTACTAATGCTATCCTTACTAATGCTATCCTTAGTAATGCTATTCCTACTAAATATATCCCTACTAAATATATCCCTACTAAAGCTATTACTAGTAATGCTATTCCTACTAAATATATCCTTACTGAATCTATCCCTACTAAAGCTATTCCTAGTAATGCTATTCCTACTAAATATATCCCTACTGAATCTATCCCTACTAAAGCTATTCCTACTAAATATATCCTTACTAAAGCTATTCCTAGTAATGCTATTCCTACTAAATATATCCCTACTGAATCTATCAGTGTGTGTGCGTGCGTGCGTGCGAGCGTTTGTGCGCGTGTGCGTGCGCGCTGCCGCATGTTACAATGCGCCACGTCTGCCGGTAAAATACAAGACGATACAGAACTAGTAAATACCTATACCTATATATATATATAACTATATACACGCATATATATATATATATGCGGTTAATAAAAATCGCGTGATATGCATATGCGGGTTAATAATAAAGTTTCGAAATGTAAGATCGCCCCCGGTGTGCCTAGTAATATATATATATATATGACTTAACTAAAAAACAAGCGCATGTCGACATGCCATGGCTCCCTCGGGCAGGCATAGGCAGGTGCATGGGTCGCGCAATCCACCGTCACACCGGTGCTGATCTACAGGTAAGCGTCGGCGTGGCTCCAGCAGCAGATACAGTTTACCTGCGTGGTGACTCATACCGTGAAGCAGGGAGAAGCAGGAAAACAGGAAAGCATGGATGCAGGAAAGCAGGAAGAGGTAGGGAAGCAGGGATGCAGGAAAGCAGGAAAGCAGGAAAGCAGGAAAGCAGGAAAGCAGGAAAGCAGGGAAGCAGGGAAGCAGGGATCCAGGAAAGCAGGAAAGCAGGGGGAAGCAGGAAGCCAACCAGCCACACAGTAGCAGACGCGGGTTTGTGGTAGTGCGATCTGTATCGTCGTTCTTCCGCGTGTATTGTGCGCCTGTGATAAACAGCATCACACAGCAGTACAGCCGCACCTCTCAGTAATAACGCGATGAAACTTGTCGCTAATACTGAAAACGCATTGGTGGCTGTAATATATGTTTATATATATACATATAATATATTGAAATATAAGTGGCTTTTATGCATATAAAGTTATATAT